GTTAAATTTAGTCTATAGAATTTATCAGCGTTGTGGTACTAATGGGATGTTTCTTTCTCCACAGAATAAACACACTCAACTTTTTTTGTGTCTTTAGGATGTGAACAAAAGGTGAATTTATTTCAAAGCTCTTTTTACCAGTAGTGCCAATATATTTGGAGGAAGCAGTATGTTCAAGTCAAATTGCTGTAAAAGTTTAAAGATATAGAGAAGGTGGAGAAGCTCACCTCCTTCAGTCTCCCAGAGGTGAAGGAAGGAGATAGGACACTACGGATCCTTTTCCATTGATCATCTTCAGCATTGAACAGGGAATCATACAGGGCCCCATTCAGATGGAAATTCTTTTGACATAATTAAACAGCAGCTCATGAGAACTAAATGAAATGTATATCACTATGACTTCATATGGACTGTAGAGCAGTAACTACATACTCTGCGGTTGGTGAAGAAAGAGTAGCATTCCTTAACCAGAATGGCCTTTATGATTTCAGGATCTGCAACACACAACACGGGCTGGCGGCCATCGTAAATACTGAAAGATTAGAATGAAACAAACAACTTAAGCTGTAACAAATCAATGGTTTATTGTGTCTGTTCTTCAATAACAGTTACAACGTGAAAACTCACCCCCATATTTTCCCGTATTTCCTATAGCACTCTTGATCGAAGTTGAAGAACCCCTAATTACAAAAATAATGTTACATTAGAAATATAAGATAATTTAGAGAACACGTTTTATACAATTTTCAGCAGATTGAATTAATAAATAATGGGTCATCTTAAAGAATGTTGTTCAAAGAAGCTAAATTACATTATTCTGATTCAATATATTTAAAAAATATACATTTCAATTTAAATCAATTTAAATCCGCTACATTCCACTACTCTGGAATAAAGCGGAGTTAATTGGACCTGTTAGCATTTTTCTCTAAATCTTCAGCTTTTCATTGTAATGTCATTGTAACACTAATAAGCTAATGATAATCCAATAAAAATAATTCAAAGGTAACGATTTTATTAGAAACCAAGTGCCATCTGTTAGGACCATAAAATCTACCCTTGTGACCATTTAAACTATCAAAACCCCGAGTTTATGAGGAAATTATTTCCAGTTGCACTTTCATTTAAATTATTCCTGCCGATATTTTTGCCCTAAGCTTTCATTAGCAAATGAAATGTGATGCTAAATAAGGAAGGACTAAGGAAGCTATATACTGTAGCTGGAAGGGCCAAAGGACATTTGTTATAAATGTGGAATCTGAGATATTTATAATTCTTCACAACAATCTTCACATTAACCCCTGGATGGAAACTGGGGTCACCGGCATCCTGGTGCTCCTCCTCAGATCCACCACCAGTTCCTTGGTCTTTATCACATTGAGCTCCAGGTGGTTCAGTCCACACTATGTGACAAAGTTGCCCATAGCAACCCTGTACCTCTAGCTGGGTCATCTGAGAACTTCTGTAAATGATAGCTACAGAAGTACAATAGCTGAAGCCAGTTGCATAGAGGATAAGGGACAGTCCCTTGTGGGGCCCCTATGTTGCTGACAACAGTGTCTGATATACAGTGTCGCAGGTGAACAAACTGTGGTCTGTCAGTCCACAGTTCATAGACTTTGGACTGGCTGTCCACATGTAGACTGCAGACGATGTGGTTCAGCAGATAGTCGACACTCTGATGTGGGTGGTCAGTGCCACCCACAGCGCCTGTAGTTGTTGGAATCACAGGGACGCTGCGTCTTTGACACCAGAACAATGCAGTATGTTTTCCACATCACAGAGACCCTCTGTATGCTCATGTTGAAGATATGAAGGAAAATCATATTACAACTGCAATATCACAAAGCACAGGCTTTAAGGACCCTCGAGTTCACACCATTGAGGCCTGCAGCCTTGCCAGGGTGGAGTCTCACCAGCTGGTTTGTA